TGAAATTTGGAATAAATGTTATAATTGGCTAGAACAGAGAAAGAAAAAGACATAATTATTGATGTATATAAAATGTAAATAAGATGTAAAGAATATTTAAAATGTAAAGCACTGTTCTGTTAGAAGAAAAGATTTATGTTTATGTAGTTTTTGGTGTATGGTGTATGGTGAAAAATAAAAAAAAATTGAAAAAAAAAAGAAATTGGGAAGAAAAAATTAGCAGTTTAGTACAACTTAACAAAATTAACAGATGCATTTATCTAAATATGATATAGAAATAAACTGCTATGTCAAAGTGTGTCCTAAGAAATCTGCATATTTTGCTGGTTAGGAAAAATTAACTATAGGGTATTTATAGTATGGCACAAGATCTTCATTGCTGTTCTTCTACGTTAATGTCATAGATTTCTCTTTAATTCTTAAGGGTTTTTTAGAGGATATGTGATCACTTCCTTTTTTTGGAGTAATATTATGTCTACCTTATTAGCATGTTAAAATTGAGCATACTGTGAAGGCATGATAATTGCAACTCTGTGTTGATAGGGATGCACCTGAGAGCATATTAAGGTAGTAAAGTAAGAGTACATTCCACTTCTAGGGTAGTCAGAAATTCATGACCTCCATAGTTATTATAGATTGAGCTGGTATGTGAATGGATGATGAAGGACATTGTGCATAGACTTTTGCTATGATGAGATCACTTCCTAATATGGATAATCTCCTGGCTGCTGGTGGCTTCCATAAGTGATAGTGATTAAGATGGTTTCTCTTAGGTGTCTCATGGATTCTAATGGATTTTGGGCATTTTTCAAGCACCTTGAAAGGTAATAATGCTGAGCCTCTGATTATGTTCTTGTTCTCAAAGGCAAGATGTAATATTTGAGCAACCTGTTTGCAAATCCTGGGAATTTTGGACTAATCAGGGAGTTTCAGGAAATGAAGTTTTAGAAGAAGCACCTGGAGTGCTAGGGGAAGAAGACTAGGACTGAACATAGGTAAACTGAGCCAATCATATCAATAAGGGCAAATGTAGACAGTAAAGAAGATGACCTTGATGGAGATATGTAGGATCCATTGCCTAGGGCAGGCATGTCAAACTTGCGACGTTACGTGACGTCGCGCAACGTATTGCAACTGTTCCCCCATTGCTGGCAATGGGGTGGGCATGGTTTCGGCGTGATGCATCCGGCCCATGGGCCGGCAGTTTGACATGCCTAGCCTAGGGAAAAGGGGCTGAAGCATATTTTAACTCTACAATGAGACAACATTTGGAAGTGGCTCAGGTGGATATTTTTGTAATTCACAGTAAGAAAGAGGTAGAAATACAGAACAGCCATGCAAGATTCTGTTGTTATAACAATGTCAATAAAAATAGTTCTAGCCTACCTGTGGAGTTGGTTTCCTAGTTTGATCTGTCTAATAGCAGACTTGCTCCCTTATGGGAGTGATGAGCAAGAAGATTTGCCAAACAGCCCCAATGAGTCAATCACATAACACTTTGCTGACAAAGTTGCTCAAATTCACTCAGGCCAGGACTTTGCATTGATGGGTCTGAGGAGGAACAGTCTCCTTAAGATTTGGACAACATCCTCCTGTTTGCTTTTAGCAAGGCTATCAAGTTGAATTCAAGCTATTTCAACCTGTAAGAGCTGTTCCCACTAATTATGGTTGATCTCTGGATTTTATTGTTTGCATGTTTTTATGTAATATGATATTTGTAAAGCAAACAGGAATTGTTCGGAATGCAGCAGTATATAAAACAATAAATAAATAAGCAAACAGCTTTAAAAGAGTGGCAAAACGTACATGGATTTAAAAAAGCAACTTATATCATTATGTACATGGTGGGCTGAGTGAGGATGCTATGAAACTACTTTTACTCAAAGAAAAAAAAATGCTGGCTGTGCCAGAGCTCTTGCATATGGCTAAGATAGAAATATGGAGCTTAGTCCTTGGTCCTGATGCTTTACACTTTGAATATTCTGAATGCTGTGGAGAAAGAATTAGTCATGGACTATTGTCTATCACTGCAGATGGTTTAAGGAAACAAAGATGGTGATGCTGAGTGGGAAACATTATTCAATATTTGGTGACAGATGAAGTTGGATAAGCAAGATATGGATGATGGTTTCCTAAACCAGAGTAAACCAGAGAAGATACTAAACTGTGCTAATAAGAAAAGCAGAATATCTGAGGGAAGGATAATTTGTTGGGGGGGAGAGGTGCTGAATATTACAGTTTATATTAAATTCACATAAAACTTGGAATGATCTCCATAAAATTCTTCAGATAGTCAAGGAGGAAGAGATCAACAAAGCAGATTACGAGCCATGCATAGTATGTACAGATTCTTTTTCTGATTTACTTATTTCCATTTGATAACCATTGTTGTGGTTTATAAATTATACAGGACAGCCCCAGCCCTTAGCTGTCATGGAGAGATGAGTCTCTGATGTCAAGAGGCTTAAATATCAGCAGATCTATTTATACTAGACAATCATTGTTTATTATTAAAATAATTCCAAACTTTCATATGTTACAATGTATTATTACATTTCAGTGTACACCTTATTTTCTAAAATACTAATTATACAATTCTTTTCAATGTTTAAAACGTGCATAGTGTACATGCATATTTCATTTTTGAGACTAGCTTTGGGTGTAGAAAAAAGCAGTAGAGGTAGGCTGTTAGATTATACAGCAGCATATTATTAGTATCAACATCAAATCATTTTTATGTTTTCCAATTAAGCAAAATGCATTCATTAAATAAATGAAATATTTGTTCTTGTTACATACGAATTGACGTTTATAGTTCAGTAGAGCCAGACTTTTCTCTCCCTCTTTGAAATAACATGTTTTTCAAATTGAAGAATTGTTGTTTATTTTTGTTTTTCACAGGAACAAAAATAAACAGTTTTAATTTGCAATATTGGTGGATGTGTTATTGTTCACTGATATGAGTGGCATTTTCATAAAGGAAGTTCCAAGAAAGTGAAATCCTATCAATATTATGTTTTTATATAAGGAGATTGAGTTTATTATGTGATTCTTGATTGTGGGAATCATAAAATAAGTGTAAGAAATTTGAAGAAGTACCAATAAAAATAGTCATGAAACATATCATATACAATAAAGACAAAGCTTGTCAATAAAAGAAAGGGAGAAAGGGTTGCATTGTCCCTACAGCCCTCCTTCTACCTTGAAAGTTTTAGGCAAAAATGTAGAATACACTGTTTATTAACATGTTTATTAAATAGAAAGCAGCATAAAATAGTATATGTCGTAGGCGGAGACTTGTATTAATCTAGGGTAGTAAAACATCAGTAATCTGATAATTAATAAATTTAATTAAAAAGCATAAGCTTTCACTGTTAGTTGGGGAAAATGCTAACACACCTAAAATAATCAATTGCCCTAAAAATAGTAAATATGATGATCAACAGATTTAAAATATTTTAACCATTATAATGAATTGACATACTGTGCATAGTGTAAATGATGTGAAACAATTTTGATGGCTGTAATTCATCTCATCATCAGACTTCTCTGCTGTTCTTGTATGGCATCATAGTTACTCTTGTTAATGACTCGGAGAATATATGACCGCATCCAATGATTCCTTCAGGGCTGTGTGATAAAAAGCTAGTTAGCCTCTATATCACTTTTGCTTACAGAATGCAAGAAATTTGAAATACTATGAAATAAATATTGTTTGGCCTACTTTTCAAGACAGACTTTTCATTCTGATTCCCAATTAAAATGTAGTTAAATGAAAGACATTCTCTGTCTCCTGAGGTATTCCTCTCCATTCTTAATCTTGTATGATCAGAGGAAACAAGTATTTGCCTGCTATTTTTTGTCACATGTTCTGCTTTCTCTGTTCATCCAACAGAAAGGAGAACCATGTTGCAACATTTTTTCATTTGAGGCAACAGAGCAATTGACTTTTGAAATTCCTTTGAATGATTCGGGTTCAGCTGGACTTGGCGTGAGCTTAAAAGGCAACAGATCTCGAGAGACGGGGGCAGATCTTGGAATTTTCATCAAATCTATCATCCATGGTGGTGCTGCATATAAGGTATTTTATTTATATTACTTTCATCTTGAATATGGTGAAAACCTATTTAGTTCAATATGATCTGTAATTATTTTGATATTGGCTCTTGGGAACATCAGATAGGTGTTTTCAATATCACCCCAAAATACCTTGTTTTGGGTGCATTTTGAATATGAAACTAAAATAGGTTGAGATTGTTATATCGTTTTTATTTAGTTTATCAAATATTTTACTAACATTACCTTAGTAAGAAATATACGTAAAATGTATACATCCTATTTTATATATACATCTATATTTTATATAGTATTAACAACTACATTTGTTATTTCGACGCTAAATGAAGTTATTTCAATCCTTTTGAAACTTAAAATATTTTTTCCTCCTTTTGAAAAGGATGAATATATAATATTTTTGTAGGAATGAGATAAATTATTGTTTTCCATTTCAGTGAAAAGTATTTATATACTGTGGAATGCACCTTAGCAAATATCAGTATTGGAAAATGTTTGCATTTATAGAGTAGGGTCCTTGAGTTTTCATATTTTAATTAAAAGATTCACACATGACAAACTTGTCTTAAATACCAAGTCACTAGGGCACCTCCATGAAAACACGCAACACAGATGGAGCCGTAAATCAGCACAAAAGAAATCAAGAGTCTCATTTCTAAGTTTAAAAAGAAGTAATTTACCTGGTTCATGAATTCAAAGAGTATATATTCTGTCTGCACAGAAAATTAAAATAGCTTGATTATATTTAAATAAATAAAATAGTACTGTTAATTAATTATATTAAAGGCAACATTAAAGACAAAAATGTTATAGAAAAAGGAGGAGGAGGAGGAAGAGATCTGGATTTTTTATCATGTTGTGCTGTTACAAGGCTATCCTATTGGCCTGTACTATTTGTTTATTTATGGGTGGGGAATGAATGGATCTAAATACCTGAAATTTTACAAATTCTATCTTATTGATTTAATAGTATAAATGTGATTTTTAAATCGTTTTCAATTCCTGAAGATTATATTTCCCTAAAAAATAGTTGTTTCAAAAATGCATTTTTCTTTACTTTCAAGGAGAAATATAAGTTTCAATACAATCTACTATGCATTGTAGGATATCTATTAAGTAATATTAAATAAATGGTGTTCAGTACTTGTTTGGATTTATCTCATTTTCCTCAAGATAATCATCCATATTTTTGTATTTAAACATTTATTTGCAACCATGGGTTTTAGCAATATATATATATAATTATAGCAATCATATCAGTTCAATACATCCCCCGTAGTAATGACTTCACTGTTTGTCAAGGTGTGCTTTTGTGTCTTTCTTGTATCCATTGCAAACAATCCAACTTGTTTTGTTACATGTTTATGCTTTCAATATAAAATAGTTTTTTTTTCTTCTAAACTAGATTGATTCAGTTGGGTTAACAAGAGTGTAATGAATCTTGCTCTGGGTTCTTGTTAAAATTTGCAGTATAATAAGTAATGGGCCAAATCTTCCACCTATAAGTTATTACAAATACATAATCATGTGTATTTGCTAATGCTTTATATCTGCTATCCAAATAGGCTGTTTGAAAGTGATGTTCTTTAAAGGGAACAGGGGAACAACATTCTCGGGGAACATGATGTAAGAGATTGTAAATATTATGACATTCCTTATCCTTCTTTAAAAAGTTGGTGCCACTTACTTAACTTAAGTTGACATACCTGTTCTCTATCTTGGCAAAAATCTTTAAAAAAATAAGTAGTCTCTCAATAATATATAATACTTTATGTCACTCGAAAGCTCCTGATCTAACGAGAATTGTGTGAGTAGAATAGATTCATCCATCTATTTTCAATAAATTGTTCATGAAGGCATTGTTTTGCCAAATAAGTATCAGGCATGAGGACTAGTTTCCTATAATATAAAATTATAGCTTTCTTTACCCTTACATTTATTGATGGAAGGGCCACATCTAATCTCAGTAGTGCTGCAGATATACAATGGGGGTAAGGCTGAAATTGATCTTTCAAATTTAATCTGGACCACTTCTAATTCTTCTAGTTTACTGAAATCCCAAATTGTAGCCCCATATATATCAACTGTGATATTGTTTTTCCCTCCAAAAGATCCTACGCCAGGGGTGTCAAACTGGCGGCCCACGGGCTGGATGCGTCACGTGGAAGCCATGCCCACCACAGCTCCGACAAGGGGAAAAGTCGCGATATGTCACGACATGTCACATGACGCTGCAGGTTTGACACCCCTGTCCTACTCTGACTGTCCTCCTTTTGAGTAGAAGATGGAGCAAATGGTTCTCACTGATCTCATAGCCATTGATCTTGTTGATGCGGTATGACTCATCCATATCATGTTATATGGATGTAAGTGTATAAGCATATTCGTGTTCTTAAACTTTGACATTTGTTTATGAATATTTGACATGGAGGTTTTATTTGTGAATTACTTGATGGCTGTATAATAAATAAATAGAATAGAACTGAGAAGAAAATTATGCATTTAACCACTGGAATTTAAATTGATACCATCAGTGCTTCTTAATATTATGAAATAATTTATTTTAACCACAAATTAATATGGTAATGTGGATGTTGTACTATTAGGTTTAGACTTGTAGATCATTTTGTTTCTTGTTTAAATGTTTCAAAGCTTGTACCTTTGATGTGGTGTAATAACAAAACCCAGAGCCTGTCAGAGATTTAAAAAGACTCCCAGTGTTTGGATCAAGGTATCACCAAGTGCTCAGTCCCAGACTCATCAGTCAAATATGGTCAGGCACAGATCATAGTTCAGATCACCCCACAAGTAACATGTCATAATATAGTATATGCACCATTAGGGATTGAAACAGTATTGTTTGCAAAACATGCATTTCTTAAAATATTCTCTGGTACACTCACTGTTCAGAAGAAGCAAACCAAACATGAAAGTAAAGTTTCATGCTGTGGCATGAAACTAAAAATTAACCAAAACAAAAGTATATTTAAATATATAAGCTATGATATGCACTTTTAGATCCATTTATAGTTGTATGACACTCCCACTCATTATTTTCTTTTGTCAAAGTTGCCGGTGGCATTTCTCTGCAAAAGCTGAACAAGGACAGATTCTTCATGAATCCCCATCACTTCGAGCCCTTTTGAGTCTTTGTGGAAAGACTTTGAGACTCCTTTTTTCTCCCAATGTTTAAAAAGGATTTTATTTCAAGAAATTTGTGAGTCGGACATCCCTGCAAATTTTGAGGCTTGGGCCGTAGAGCAAGAGTGTCATTCACCAGAAGAAGTTAGATTTCACATACTGTCCAAAGATGGGGATGGGGTGTGTTAGGAAAAGGAACAAGCCAGGACTATTATGTTTTTCATGGCAACACAAAGATGTACATCTTTCTCTTACAAGAGAAAACAGCAGAAGGGAAAGGAGAGAAAAAGACAGCTGACATCACATTAGCTCAGGCTCAATATAGCAACAAGAGAGAATAGACAATGTAATTAAGCCCATGATGTTTAATAAGTATAGTTGGGAATAAAAAGAGACTTAGAGAATACAGAATAACAGAGCAGGAAGAGACCTTGGAGATCTTCCAGTCCAACCTACTGTTTGAGCAGAAGACCCTGTAACTTTCTAGACAAATGGCTGTCCAATCTCTTGTTAAAAACCTCCAGGGATGGAGCCCCACAAGTTCCAGAGGCAAGCCTTTCCACTGATTCATTGTTCTCACTATCAGGAAATTTTTCCATAATTCTAGGTTGGATCCCTCCTTAATGATTTTCTGTTGGTTACTTCTTGTCCTGTTCCCAGATGCTTTGGAGAATAGGTCAGCCCCCTTTTCTCTATGGCAGCCCCTCAAATATTGACAGACAGCTATCATGACACTCCTAATCCTTTTCTTGGTTAGGCTAGACACACCTAGTTCCTTTAACCGATCGTCGTAAGACTTAGCTTCCAGATCCCTAATCATCTTTGTTGCTCTTCTCTGCACTCTAGAGTCTCAACATCTTCTATGCATCATGGAGACCAGAACTGGGTTGTCTTTCCAGTGCAGAATAAAGCAGTACTAACTCTTCACACGGTCTTAATACTATTCCTCTATCCACAGCCTAAGACTGCATTGGCAGTTGCAACTGCAGCACAAACCATACTTAAGTGGTTGTCCATTACGACACCTAGATCCCTGTCACAGTTACGGCTGTTGAGCCAAGGGCCACCGATTCTATACCTGAACATTTGCCTTTTCTTGCCTAAATGTAAGATCTTATTTTTCTCACCAATGAATTGCATTTTGATGGATAGGGTGCAGTGTTCAAGTCTGTCAAGATCCTTCTGTATCTTGGGTCTGTCTTCTAAACTGTTGGCTATTCTCCCCAGCTTTGGTGTTGTCTGCAAATCTGATAAATTCCCCTCCCCTTCCCTCTTCTAAACCATTTATGAAGGTGTTAAGAGCACTGGGCCTAAGACAGAACCTTTTGCTACCTCACAGCATTTAGATGTAGTTTCATTGGGGACTACGTGTTAAGTGCAATTGGTCAGCCAATAATAAATCCCTCTGGTGGTGATGCTGTCTAGCTCACATTTTTTTATCTTACCAAAAGGTAGTACTTTAGTATTGCTTTACCAGTTTGGGTATAGTCATTGTTGGATCTAGAACACCTAGAGGGTTAGACATAGAATACCTCCAGAATCCCTTCCAATCTTATTACAGTATTCTGTGTTTTAGGTTTTCAGAGATCTGATGCTTCAGAATAAAAACAATTTCATGGCTGTGCTGGCTTTCTCTATTGCCAATTCCCCTGGTTTCTCTCTGCTGTCGGAGTTACTTCTAGGCTTTGATTTCTCTGCTCTGGGCGGACCTTTGCAATTCTTCCAATTCTATGAATATTTTGTATGATAAATTGATGTTAATCTAAGCCTCTGTTCTGTTATTTATGATACTGGATCTTGTTGTTTCCAGAATTGGTGCATTTTTTTCAAGTAGTCTCTTCTTCTTGGGCTTCATGTGGAATAAAA